AATCTAACAGGATTCATAGTATTTAGCATTATCAATACCCTAAACTAATGGCTAATCTTAAATTCAGTGCTAGACTGATTTCCAAGAGGCCAGGAGTTATTCAGCCATTCCATCTCTAGTCTTATTATTTTATTCAATCTTGACTAACCTAAATTTATTGAAGGTATTTATTCAACCTTGCTTACATCTTATGCTTATCTGATGATTTCATAAAGAAAATAGACATACCGTATATTTGATACAAAATGTGCGATAAGCCATGGTTCTCTCTTTCAAGAAATGAAGAAAAAAATCTGCTTGTAATTAATCTTAAGACTTTGATGGATTTGGCACTGTTACCTCATTTTGATCCTAGCGACATTTGTTCACAAAAATGGATTTATAAACTGTAATCACTTCAGTCCTAACTTTTTCCTCTATTATTTATTTGCACTACAATAGTATCTGGAAACTCTAATCAAGGCTAGACCTGCATTGAAAGAGCAACTTATACAAACTATTTCAAATAAAAGAGTCTATGTCCATAATAGACAGTTAAATGATTGAGGCAAAGGAGAAGAGAAAGACACTCTTTGGGAAGTGAAGTCACTGCCTCCTGCCACACAGCAGGCCAGTGGCTAAGAAAAGAGTCGTCCCAGTCTGGAATTTCAACGTCTTGCTCTATCGACAGGTTTGTGTTCTTAAAACAATAAGGTATCCAATACCGCGCACTCTTGCAATCAAAAACACAAGTTTTAGTTCTCTTACCAGGGGCATCAGGGTGAACTTTGTGTGAACTTTTAATTTTCAGTAAAGGATGGATCGCTCCCACACAGCTAAGAACTGGTGAGATGAAGGTTCTTTACCTGCCCCAAGAACAGCTATGTAATCTTCTTCAAGATGGGGCCCAAAATTTTAGAAATCTTTTAGTGTGCAGAATGTTATAGACACAGGTGTTATAGTACAGGATGAGAGAGTGTGATGTAGCAATGAAAATATAGCAGCTGTGATGACTGCAGAATAACAAACAGCAGCTAAGAAAGGAAAGGTTTGTGCTTCTGTGACAAACAAATTTAAACAGATGGCAAATTTTTGCCTTCCTAGTGGTGAAGCATGCAGATTTTGTGAAAGCTGAAAACTCCACCACTTCCATTGCCATTATTTTTCTTGAATAGTTCTTTGTTACTGTACTTAAACTGCAGCCCACAGTCTGATTACAGTCTTGCGCAATAATCTGAATTTCCAAAGATCTCTTAAGAGCAAGCTGTAGTTCAGGTACACCACACATTTCAAGTCCTTACAAGGCACTCCTAGAGTGGAGAAGTTTTACTTGGTACGCTACACTTGATTTGTGCAGGTAGTCTGGATACCTACTGCACTAACACAAACCAGCTGCGTAGATAGAGAAGGCTTTATCTCTATCCTTCCCCTAAATAGCAGGGAAATGCTGTGCTATATAGCCCTTCACAGTCAGAGATGGGGATGTTGATCTAGAAACTTTAGGGATCACTGTTATAAGTTATCAAAATTTGTAACGAGCAAGAATTGGGATTTTTTTGTTATATTGGGTGATTGCATATGCTTAGAAGTACAAATAGAACGTGTCCTAATACCACCGCTGTAGTCTATTTTACTTGCTCTGTAGAAACTTGCTCAGTTTGATGCACCGTCTGGTTACTGACTTCATCTAAAAGCACAGAAACAGTAGTCATCTTAATAAAACAAAGCAAAAAAAAACCAAAAAAACAATAGTAAAGGGAGCATATCGCTCTACGTTTACTGTGTATGCCTAGGCTTGGAGGCCTTCATATTTTCATTTGAAGAGAACCGAATGCAGGAAAAGTTGCAATTTGCAGGGGGGTGATATATAAATAGAAGCATTTTTGCACAAACCATTCACTCCTAGGATATTATTAACATTTTGCACTTAAAATATTAACTGATCCTCAAAAACATGAACATATTCTCAGTATACGCTCGTTCTTTTGCTTGGAGAGGTGAAGCGAGGTATAAACCAGCAAAGAAATAGATTCAGAAAAGACCTGAGTTCCCTGAGTCTCCATATTCCAGTGCATAACTCTGAGGAGCACGGGAGCAGTATATGCGTATTGTCACAAGGCTCTGCCTAAGCCAGCAAACCCAAGCGAACGAATGAGCATCTGGCTGCTAACATGACCACACCTGTTTCTGACTAAGTTGTACCTATTACGACTGTGCCACTTGCATTTTGTTTCCCTCACAACAGACTTATGAGTGGCTTATCATCTAATATTCCAGTGCAACATTAGAAGTCTTCTTCATCTGCACAGTGACTTTGGATCACTTTTTATTTCTGAAGTAATATATGCTGATCAAATAAAAGACCTGTTAATAGCGTGAGACATTCAGAACATGTTTCCAGAGCAGAGAAGCAATATATCACAATTAACAGTCCATGCTGCAGCCTTTCAAGGCCCACAGACCTTGAAAGATTGTGTCTCATGGCTTTGTTCTCCCAAATGAAAGAGCTGGTATATATCACCTCAGCTGAATCAAGCTTCTGACATGTCTTATATGGTTGTGTGTCAAACAGGAAATGTTGAAAAATAGCCTACATTACTGTCCTAAAGTACTTGTAGTTTGCATTAGCTCTTTAAACAGATGTGTTGCTGCTGGTGTTACTTTTATTTTTGCCACATTTCTGTTTATATAAACTGATACTTAACTGGAATTCATGTTGGGCATCCATTAATGTCTTTGCATATAATCCGAAATCGTAACAGATGTTATTAGTCTTCAAAAAGGATTAGGGAATTTTTTTCCACCACAGACAAAAATATCATACTAGTCTGGGCAACAAATCCATTAAGCAGTCGAGCTTATCCATACAGCCATAAAAAACTCAGAGGGAAAGTGTGATTATTGAGGGTTGTACATAGTGTTATATACTCTACATGCATATATATAAGATATATAGTATATAGAAGTCTTACATATTCTACAGAAAAGTATTTTGTTCTGGTTTTACCATTCTCCTGCTGAGAAATAATGAACTAACATCTGTGCATTCAGTGAAAGCTTTGTCTGTCACCTATTCACTGTAGCATTTGCCACAGTGTGTAGTTATTAGGAATAGGTGGAAGCTTTAGGAGCCTGACCTCAGCGATTAGGCTCCTTACACTCTGTGAAGCAAGGTGGATATTTTCAAGAGACTATTCAGAATACCTGTATTAGGCAGCAATTAGGATTCTCAATTCGATTCTTTGTGTCACCTTTAAATGTTACTTTCTCTGATAACTGTACAGAAAAAGTCCTGAGGTTTGGCAATATGAATTCTATTGCATATTCTTTCAGTGGGGCTGAAGAGAACCAGCTGTGAATGAATCTTTTTAATCTCACGCCTGTACTGTAGAGGCACTAGATAACACAGTTACAGTTTAAGTAACTGGCAATAAGTCCGAAAGTATTTCTTGAGTGGCTACTGTTGGAGAATATGTGTGTAATTATTATTCTTCAATGTTTAATTTCCCTGATCTGACACTCGTGTCCTTCATAGAGTTGGCTATGTAGTGGGAACTCAGAACTGTGCCAAATTCACCAACTCATTTCACTCAGGCCACTAGGGAACATGAGAATTAGTAGTCCTCTTTTTCTAGCAAAAGCTTAAACGTTGCTTGTGCAGTCTTACTGAATTAATGTATTAAATTTTTGATTGTGGGTTTTTACCTATTCATACAAATATTGTCATGGAAACATTCATTTTCATAAGTGTTTATAACAAAAAAAAAAATCTAGACAACACATGAAGGAAGAATTTTAGTCTAAATTTAAAAATTCACACCATAAATCCACTTTAGGAGTTAATCACTGGGCAAATCTAAGAAGCACTGTCAAGCAGTCTGATAAAAAGTACGTATCCAATCAAAATAAATAGTTTTTTTCAATTATGCCTATTGAATATGTGCAAATACTTCCCAAGGGCCTGTTATTAAGTTGTATGAATTTACAAAAATAAGACAAAATTAAAACTCCATGATATAACAAAATTTCAACAAATTATGTACACATGTTAAACTACTCCTAACCAGATGTGCACTTGGATCAGTGCATGTTATTTCATTAGCAGGAGACAGAACTACTGAAGGCATGGCAGTGAATGAACATACTAGAACATACTAGAACTAGGAAGAATTTACTGAACTATGCAATTAAAAATGCTTATTCTGAAATAAAATGTAGCAGATTTTGTGCAAACCCTAGGGTCCCTAATATGTACAATACTTTAGCATTTCACAGTAGTTAACCTGTTTGAAAAGGCTATGATATATTCAGTACTAAAACTCTTATGGCATTAATATAGGATTTTTTAAAATCTATTTTGGGATTGGCAATAAGCTATACAAGAATTTTCCCTCTTCTCTGCCAGTAAACCAGTACCATCTCACACCAAATGTAATTAGTTACAAATTGCCTGTTACAACTTAATTAAACTTCCTTGCCTCTCTGCTGCTTAAGCAACATGCAGATTCTTTTATGTACTTGCCAATTAGTGCATGGGGATTCTGCTTTCTAATTGGATAAAAAAGTAATAAACTGAGCAGGGTGCTGTTGATATCCAGAATCGACTTTGTTAAAAAAAAAAAAAAAAAAAAAAAAAAGTGGAGACAGGTTTAATGCTTCAAATATTTATCTCAATTGAAATTGATTAAAACAATTTGAGGTTCCATTAGATATAGATACAATCCTTTTGTTAACAAAGTCCATCTGGTCTAGGAAAGAAAATTAAGATTCACTAATTGAAATTTGGAAGCTTTTTTCCAAACATGCATAATTCATACTGACAGAAAACAGAAGCTGCTATTCACCACAAACTGTCAAGTAGATGAATGTTTCATTTAGATGGAATTTAAGATTTCACCCAGCAAGAATCTACAAATGCTTATAGCAAGTCGCAGTCTGAGAAAAAAGAAATCTGTTCTTTTTTTCACTGATGCAGTCTTAAAATCTTCCCTTTTTCCAGTGTGAAGCCATGCTAACCTTGAAAAGGACCATATATGACCTTTCTTGTTGCCAGTACTGGAAAAACCTTTCTAGATCATGAGCGTTATTCAGCTCTGCAACGGTGCAACTTCATTTGCCAGAGATGCTTCTTTTTTAATTCGTCATATATTTACAGAAAACTGCTTTTGTGTCAGGACTTAGTTCCATTTTACAGGAGACTCAGATTTAAGCGTACCTCTCCCTGGTTACTTTTCCTGCCCCTGTACTCTGTCCCTCAAAAAACAATCTCAGATCAGATCGTTTAGTTCTCAAAGTGGTGCTACAAACAGTTGTATTAATGCAGCTGAGTAGTCTGTAAAGTGCAATGAAGACTGGGAATGAGTAGCTGCAGAGAAGAAAAATATCCTGAGCCAGAAAATTTTAGGTCAGCATGGCCACCATATGCTTCACATCACTGGATGGTGGCAACAGGTGCAATAGCATAAATCATCTCTCCGCTTCAGCTCTCCACTCAAACCTGGGACAGCCACAAGTGATCTTCCTCCCTTTCAGGTATGACATTTATGTTTATTGATAATTTCTAAGCTGCATCAGAATTGTCTTGACATTTTTGAAACATAAATCAAAGCATTGCTTTCTCCTGAAAAACAGAAGGTATTTGGTTTCAATTATATTGTTTCATCCAAAGCACATTTTAGCTTTTGGTGGATTCTTGCCTGCATAAACATTTCAAAATAATGAATATTATGGCTCCACGGAAGATACTGGCAGTTCTATCACCAATTTTACTGGAGTTATATTTGTTCCCCACACTATTCATTGTTCTTGAAAAAAATTCCAGTTCTGAAACACGGTGGTTACCAAGGGGTGATGGGGGAAGAAACTGGTGAAAGAGACGCTAAAAATGGAATTTTCCCTTGTACTTTACAGTATGCTCTGGAGATAAGTATTCGGTATCGGTAGAGAGCTTTCCTGAGCTGAGATAAATAGTCACTCGAGTCAGTGCACTCAGGCAAGGAAAAATCAAAGTCATCACACTCTGAAGGCAGCACAGGTGTTTCCTGTTCTCAGCGAGCCACTTGCTTTACAAATACGTAAAATATAGGTAGCAGAAGAGTTCTCTTTCAGAAGTGAGCTCTGATTGGAAGATAATTAAAATGAGATAATTTAATAGGAAGATAGATATAAATAAGTGTTGTATAGATTCAATAGTCATTTATTAGAGAGAAAAAATATTCTTCCATCTACATTGCTATAATGGAGCATGAATACACAAAATGAAAAAATACAATGATGCTACTGGAACTGAAGAAAAAGACTTCAGTCAATAGTGTGATGTGGAAGGTGCCTGACCTAATTCAGGTAGCTGCAGCAGCCCCCCAGCCATATCCGCAGAGAATTCCACAGTGGCTAATTTAACCTACTCCTCAGGTACCTCCTTCTGTTTAGAAGTAGTTACCCTGTGTTTCTGGGAAATGAGAGATTCAAATTCATGGTTTCCTTTTTCCACCTCTGTTGGACTTGGAGAAGATATCCTCTGATCTATAAGCAAGGAAATTTCCTCTGCTACAGTTTTCTGAGTGACCCTACAAATCCATCCTGGCAGCCACAAATGTTTTATTTCAGAAACAGTAAAACAAAATTAACTACATTGGCTATTCCAAAATATAATATATTTTTATTTATGGAAAAATTTGGTTATTGATAGTTTTGAATTGAATAGATAGAATTAACTTTCACTAAAAATTCTATTCACTAAATAATATTTTCCTCAAAATTGAAGTATACTTATAGACCCCTGACAAGGCAGCTGAACAATCTCCTCTCAAACCGTACCTTGCCCCAGCTACTGTGAGTTTTTTTTCTGTTTCTCTACTTTTAATTTACTCTAGGAAGTTTTATAACACTTAAAAAAAAAAAAAAAAAAAGGCCAAATTCAGAAATATGTCATCTGAGATATATTTTAGATTTCTCAGTCATGTCTATTTAAACTAAGTAGCCGGTAACTAGCCAAAGAACAATTTTGTGCAATTCATAGATCAGAGAGACGGAGAGCTTCTCAGCCTCCACATAGCCAAATGGGGGGTGAGAAGCCCTAACTCAAAACAGCCTTTATGTTTTAATTTTATGTGAAATGCAGCACCAAGTAGGGGGACAGAATAAGCCTGCTTTCTATTTAAGACTCAAGGATTTAAGGTTGTACTATTTTTTTCTAATTTCCAGCTAATATTGACTATTTCGTGTGTTTCAGCTATAATTCCGCGTTAGTGGAAAGATGGTCTGCATGACCTAAAAGCCAGTTACACTCTTCTACTTCTATGAATAGAAGAATGTTTCCAAGGGAACCACTTGCAGTCCTGTCATCTGGGCTGTAGCCATTTAGCCACTGCTACCTTGAATATATTTGAATATATTTTCTCACTCCTTGGAAATTCTCTGAAAGGTTTCTTTCCTTTGTACCCTCAGTCTCACTCGCTACCCGCCCACCCTCCTGCTCTTTCTTCAACAATTTCTTGCCAATATGAACTCTATAGCAAAAAGCAAATACAGGCCTTTTCCACCACAAGCATGTTTTAATTGCCACACTGCTGTCAAGCTATGGAAAACCACAGCTAAATTCCCACTGCAGCCTTAATGAAGTGACAAGTGGCTTAATATAAAACTGACATCATGGTTAACACCAAGTGGTATTTTTAATGGACTATACAAATCCAGTTTTCCCACCTTAACTCATAACTATCTGTCTGAGGTTAATCACCCATTTTTCTTATTTATATCTTCATTCACTGACCTATTTATGAGTAACAGCCAGAACCTTATTCCCTGCGCTTTACAATGGAAACAAAATAAATCCAATATTCACAAATTAAATGGCCAAAACAGATTTACTGAACAGATACTGATGATGTGATTTGAGGTCCCAATTTAAATGCTTGATTAAATATACATTTTCCACTAGTTGAATAAAGATAGCTGGGAGGAATGATTTATGATAGATGTGTCTTTCACAGAAATTGTCTTTCTTCTCCTATTTACCCCAGTAGCTGTCAGCAGGGACAGATTATTTTAGCAAACTATATTCTAAGTATCAATCACAAATATGTAGAGAAGAACAGACAAACTGTTCAACACATATAATACCAATGTTACCTATGCTTAAAACGTGATGATAGCCCTTAAAAGACAATTTAAATTCACCCATCAACCTCAAGGATCTTTGCTTCAGAAGCACAGACTTGATTCTGCAAAAATGTAAACACACTTTTACCTTCAGTTATTTCACTAAACCCATTGAATGATCAAAGTTAAAGCTGTGACTTGGAATTTTGCTGAATCAGGACATCATGAGTTTGTACAGGGAGAATGTTAATTGACATATGCTACAATAGCGAAAGTTTCTGCTTACTTTTCAGATATAATGAATTAATATGAATATTTCATATGAATACAAATATTCTGGTCAACAAACAGGCCAAAGCCATTCACATTCCCTTCAGAAATCACTCATTTGCATCAACGGAACAGGACGTATGATTGAATAAGTTTCTCAAGAGCCTCCTCTTCAAGAACTGTTGAAGATCAAAAGGTTTTTCTTGATAGCCAGGAAATGAAGCAGGGAAGCACCCCACAAATTACTTCCCATATCTGTGCAGCCAAAAGCATCAAAGGCTGGATGAAAAGGATGAGATTCCACTAACCTAATGCAGAGTCTACATTGTAGACATCTACATTTGAGTCAGCAGTCTGGAGTCCTATTACTGGAGAGCTGACTAGAGGTCAATAAGTTGGATGAGAAGTAAAAATGTCTCCGCTACAATTTCTGTAAAGCTACATCCTAAACCAACGTGTTAAGCATAGTGAGTGACCTACTGGCAATTCAGCCCTTTGAGAGGAGAAAGATAGCCAACCTTGCAACACAGTCACAAGCCATTGAAAATCATGTAGGGCTAGTCTTACAACAAATAAAATTAAGGTATTAAGGTCATACTGAGTGAGTGAACGCATGAAATTGCATTAAAAAAAAATTTACTTTGGTATTTGCTCCCAGTACCATCCAATGGTTATGACATTCATCTGATATTTTTTGCAAAGTTGACAGAAAATTCCTCAATAAGAAAAATCTGATTGTGTCACCAATCAGACTCATTATCTTATTTTTAAATTTAAATTTCAATTTAAGACCAGTTTCAGATGACAGTAGCATTAGTTAATTTACATTATTGTTTAGTAGATGCATTTAATTGGAATAGAGTGAATAATTTGTAACTACTTTATTGGATAGGAGAATAACTAAAGCATATAGAAAATTTAGAACCATAAATCCCTATGAAAAACAGTAAGACATGGATTCCTAAATCTATTTACACCTTCAAGACTCCCTCTCCCTTCTGTGATATCATTTTCATAAATCTTAATTTATTGTCTACTGCATTGATTCTATCTATGGCTTATTATCAGATTTTCATAAACAACTTTCTATTCCATTTGCTTAGGAATTTGTGTTTGCTTTTTTGTGGAACATTTTTACCAGTTTTTGCTATATGAAATTAAAATGACTGTATTAGATTTCTGCTTATTGGGAGAATTATTTATTTCTAATTATTTGTATATTGCTAACAGTATGCGTGGTGCAGTACAAGACAGAAAATAGAGCCTATCCGAAAGTTAAACGCTTGAAAGAATGTTACTAAAAACATAAAAATGAAGAAATGCTCAACAATATACTTTTTCTGTAATAGCCACCCTGCCTAATAAAAGCAGAGGAGAAAGTGGTATATTCTATATTTAATGTAAACTGTGAGATGACTCTAGTATTTCAAAAACTAATTCTACTAGCTAATTCTTCAGCTTGCTAATTGCTAATTCTTCAGTGACACCTTTCATAACTAGAAATCACTTATTCTTAAGTGATTCTTAAATATACAATACTTACTCCATAATTAAGACCTCAAAATATAATAAACTAAACAGAATATAAACAGAATAGAGTTTTGTGAAGCAGTTGCTTTGCCTTGTCATGACTTTTTCTTAGGAAAATAACTGCATTTAGAGACTACAAACCAACACTGCAATTCTTTCAGCCTGGAAATTTCAGTGCAGGGTAGCTTGTCCTGCAGATACCCTAGGCAACTTTTAAAAAAGTAGAATGGTAAGTGAGCAGGTCACTAACTTAATAATATTCTCCTAGCCATGAGCAGTCAAAACATCAATTTCTTCAAGACATCTTACCTTACACGTGCACAGTAATTTTAAACTTTTCTAAAGTGAAGTAGACTAAGACAGCATGATTTTTAGCTGCTCTTGAAATGTTTATATTTACCTTGGATGGCTTGTGTAAAGTGTGGGGAAGATCTTGGATAGTCATCATGGGATCCTATGCTGGCATTATTTATAGTGCAAGCTCTCCTTTTCAAAAAAAGGATTATCAAAAAAAATGATAATCAGAATACTATCTCAGAAACACACTATATACTTTGCAACTAAGATATATAGGAATTAAAGGGAAAGGCCAAATGGATAGCGTGAGCTAAATTTTCAGATGACAAAAATGT